CTTGCTGCATACTAAGAACTGTTGAAAACATCAGCAAAAAAAAAATACGTTAATGTTGAAATAAACTTAAGCTTTTAAAGATTACTGAAATGGGGTAGCAGCTAAGTGGATAAACTACTGCTCTGTAAACATGAGGTCCTATGTTCAGATCTCCAGACTAACGTAAAAACCAGATGTGGTGTGCACCTGTAACCCAAACACTGTGGGAGTGAGGAAGAGAGATAAACAGGTCCTCCGTCGAGCCAGTTGGTGAACTCCAGGGTCAGAGATCTGCCTCAAAAAATAATGTGGAACAATTGAGAAAGATAACTAACATAAGTCTCTACCCTTCATGTACACAAACAAGCACACTTAATTACACAGGCATCCACCAGCCACATAAATATAGGCGCATGTACACACATAGTTTTTTTTTTAAGGTTCTATGTATTTTATTATTGAAAAAACAATTAGTTTATATGAAACAGAAAAGCAAATCAGAACTCAGTATAAACATGACCAAGTCTCTAGAGGTTAAAATGTTCAACTCCATCTGATAGAACTGATGGATGACCATGATTCTTCTCCAGTGTCTTCTCTTGGAGTTGTACCTGACTTTGTTACCCTTTCTTTCTCGGCCAATAATCTATAGATTCTGAAAGTCCTTGGGAAGGCACGGCAAAAAGCAATCAGGCCTCTGGCTCATAATAAGGAAGAAAGGCCCACATGCATTTTGTTCTGTTTTAATACATGAGGGGGGAAATTTTAAAAATATATAAAAGGGGCTAGAGAGATGGCTCAGTGATTTTAAAAATTATAATACTTTTGCAGAGGACACAGGTTTGTTCCCAGCATCTATGTTGGTTGGTTTGCAACCACCTGTAACTCCAGAGCCAGGGTATCTGACACCCTCTTGTGGTTTCCACAAGCACCTGCACAAATGTGCATATGCACACACACACATTATTTTAAAATATATGGAAAATGCAAGTTCCTAAAGGGGACATAGTAGTCCCAGCATATATTCTCAGCTGCTTTAGAGGCTAAGGTGGTAGGATCATTGAGCCTAAGAGTTTAAGGCCAGTCTGAGCAACATAACATGACCATGTCTCAAAGTTTGAAATAACATACTAAAAATATTAGAAAGTGTCACCACATGTTATCTAGATACCAAGCCTTTATTGTTATGTACCAAGACATCCTGATCTCAGAGGGTGCCTTGTGGAAAATACAAGGAGAAAGCCTTGAGCGTAGTGACACAGGCTTTTAATCCTAATACTCAGGAGGCAGAGGCAGGTAGACCTCTGAGTTCAAGGCCAGCCTGATATAGCAAGTTCCATAATATACAGAGCTCCTTAGAGAGACCCTGATTCAGAAACAATAACAAAAGGATGCAGTAGGCAAGGTTGTAGAGCACAATAGTCACCTTTTTGGTATGAAGCGGTTTCCAATGATAAATTACTAATCAGGGGCATTTTCAATATGTGACTAATCATATCACTCTTTGAGTTCATTCCATTGGGACTGTAAAACAGAATCACAATAAAACCCAAGATAAGGGCTGGAGATATGGCTCAGAGGTTAAGAGCACTGCCTGCTCTTCCAAAGGTCCTGAGTTCAATTCCCAGCAACCACATGGTGGCTCACAACCATCTGTAATGAGATCTGGTGCCCTCTTCTGGCCTGCAGGCATACACACAGACAGAATATTGTATACATAATAAATAAATAAAATATTTAAAAAAAATAAAATAAATAAATAAAACCCAAGATAAATATTAATTCCTGGACATTATAATCCCAGTACTCTAGAAGCTAAAAAGAACTGGCATTGTTGACCATTTTAGGCTACATAGCAAGACTCTGCCACAAAAGGAAAGGGGTAGTCTCAGGATATAGCTAACTTGATAGAGATCTTGTGTACCATGTGGATAGCCCAGGATTCCATCCCCAGCACAGAATAAACTGGGGCAGTTAATCCCAGAGTTTGGGAAGTACAAACAGGAGGGTCAGGAGTTCAAGGTCATTTGTTTTGCTACGTGAGTTTGAGGTTAGCCTGGGATACCTGAGACTATCTCAAAGACAAAACAAAAACAAATAACAAAAAAAACAACCTAGGTTGTATTATACCTCTATGATTTCAGTGAGCAAAAATACAGCAGATAAACTGTTGCCAGGAATTATTTTTTAAGTTGTAAAGTGCACATCAAATTTACCAACTTATAACTGGGGATATATCTCAGTGTTAGAGTAATTGCCTAATAGACCTGGAGACTGTGGGTTTGATTCCCAGCACCACATAAATGACTATCTTAACCTTTTGTATGATTATATTAGTGTTAAATATGTTCATACTGTTGTATTATACATCCACTCTGGAGAATTGGTCTTGGTACTCAAACACAGGATCTTATACATGCCAGGATAGGTAAGGCATATTTTCAGCCAGAGCCCATAAATTTCATTGCGTATAGAAGGTTGTTTCTTGAGAAGAGACTAGAGAGGCTGGAGAAGTAGCTCAATGGTTAAGAGCTCTTCCAGAGGACCTGGGTTCAATTCCTGGTACTCACATAGCAGCTCACAACTGTCTCTAATTCCAGTTCCAGATGATCCGACATGCTCACACAGGTGCACATACAAGCAAAATGCAAGTACACATAAAAATTAAATTTTAAAAGAAAAAGATTAAAACAATACTTTGTTCCCTTCCTACCCAGAGAAACTTCTCTGGAGCTTGTATGTGACAGTGCTTCTCTGGTTTAGAACTCACCAGCTCTCGGGACCCTCAGAATCAAGTCTCAACTCTTCGATGCTTTGCCGTATCTTTAAGTCAGTTCTTGCTGGCTGTTTGTATCTGGTCTTTTTTTTTTTCAGATTCAATGACCAGTTTTTACCTATGTTCTTACAAGTCACATGTTCTGTTACTTAGAGCACAATTCAGTCATTTCTTTCACCCAGAACACTTCCTCTAATTGCTCCGACTTCCAAAGTGCGTCCTAGGTAACTCACGTACATTCAGTGTCTCACAGTTTCCTGTTATGTTCTCTACGTGTCTGATATCGGATGCCTAAGGTCCATATATATTCATTGTATATGCACTGCCCAAGTGTTCAATAAGTACTTGGATGAAATTAAACTATTGCTTTTCAAACATGTTTTATAAATAATGTTCCTGTTAGGACATTAAGTGCCTTAAAAAGAAGTGATGCCAGGCATGCAGCACAAACCTTTAATCCTAGCATTCATACAGCAGAGGCAGGCAGATCTTTGAGTCTGTGCCAACCAGGCTACATAGTGAGACCCTGTTTTTGTTTGTTTCATTTTGGTTTTGTTGGGTTTTTGGCTTGTTTGTTTGTTGGTTTTTCAGAACACGGTTTCTCTGTTAACAGCTCTTACTGTCCTAGAATTCACCCTATAGACAAGGCTGACCTCAAACTCACAGAGATCTGCCTGCCTCTGCCTCCCAAGTGCTGGGATTAAAGGCTTGTGCACCACTACACCTAACTTGTTTTTAAAGGAACTACATAGTTGAATAGGGAAATGCTTTGTGTACACACACACACACACACACACACACACACACACATCCCGTGGCAGTGTGGCTACCATTAGAAGTTTTAGAGTTAGTAGACAAACCTAGCAGGGATAGTGTGATTGTTCAGCAGATAAAGGCACTTGTTCCCAAGCCTGAAGACCTGACTTGAGTTTGATCCTGGAATCTATCTTGAAAAGTTGCACTCTGGCTTTCATATATGTGCTATAGTGTACACATCCTCATCACAAATATAATTAAATAAAATAAATTTTTTTAAAGAGAAATAAAACTTGCTTTTTAAAAAAAATGCCACAAGAGGTAGGAATGTGGTACAATGAATGGTATACAATATCCTGGACTTAATACCCAACAGTGCTGACTCCCCCGGCCCCCCCACACACACCAAAGGAAAACAAGCAATACACATTTGAGGCCAAATTTATAAATCATTAGTATACAGTGATTACAAAGATAGTTAAAATATGTATTTATTTGTAGTGCCTAGCACATAATATTTATGCTCTATTACTGTTGGTTGTTGATGCTGTTATCTATAAGCACAAGCACAGTTTTATGGCATATTTGTTAGACTTTCACAAAATCAGTTTTGGCAAAAGTTAACCATGCAGCTACTTCAGTATTGTATGTATGTTAATCATACCCAGATATGTTTTTGGAAACCTTGCTAACATCTCAAATATACTTGAAAATGTAAAACTTCTACCTCCTTTTACATTTCCAGTAATTATCACTGTCTCCTTGGCACATTAGCAAGCCCAACTTTAGTTCCTCTTTTTTTTAAAGAGTGAAATTATAGTATTGGGTTTTTAAAAAAATTATTTTTGTTTTCTGTGCATTGGTGATTTGCCATGGGTGTCAGGTCTCCTGAAACTGGAATTACAGACACTTGTGAGCTGCCATGTGAGTCCTGGGAATTGAACTCAGAACCTCTGGAAGAGCAGTCAGTGATTTTTATTACTGAGCCATCTCTCCAGTCCCCTCCTCTCTTTAGCCCTCACATCTAAGCACCAATTCCTATTTATTTGGTCAACTGGAGAAGTGTCCATCAAATGGATCCCTTTCTGGAATTACCAATGCCCTTCAGATAACTTGTTACTTTTACTACTTTCTTGCTTTTCTGCATGGCAAATTGTTGCCTGTACTCAATTGTCAATCTACCATTGCCCTCCTTCTGACTGTGCCTCCCTTAACCAGTTGGACAGAAAAATTTGTTCATCTTGCCCCAGAGCACTTTGCATTGAACTTTATTATAGCGCTTACTACTTTATACGTTGTACTTACTCTCTAGATGTAGCTCACAATGTCTCCCACTAGCGTACAAACTACTTAACAATGTGTGCCATGTGTGAGTCATTTTCATATCTCCCAAGACTTGAGTGTCTGGCACACAGGAGGGGTGCTTTTCAATGAATTTAAACAACAAACCCAAAAAAAACGAGTATATGTTGTTTTTCTCTTTGTGCAGACATTAGTACAGAAGAGCAGCTAAGGCGCCTACAAGAGGAGAAGCTTTGCAAAATCTGCATGGATAGAAATATTGCTGTGGTTTTTGTCCCTTGTGGACATCTGGTCACTTGTAAACAATGTGCCGAAGCAGTCGACAAATGTCCCATGTGCTACACAATCATTACGTTCAAGCAAAAAATTTTTATGTCTTAATGCAGAGCCACAGTAGGCATGTTATGTTCTTCTTACTCTAATTGAATGTGTGATGTGAGCAAACTTTAAGTAATCAGCATTGCATTCCATTAGCATCTGCTCCCAAGTGGAAACAAATGTTAACAGCACTGTTGCAGTCTAAACTTTGAATTTCTAAATCTTTTAGGCTATTAGCTATATTGTTTATCCAGTATTTTACTCAATTGAAACCTTAGACAAAGAAGCATTTAATATTATAACATTTTACCTTGTGTATTTGTAATATACCGGTTTGATTTTTATGTGGAAGTGAATTAATCACCTACATTTTTTCATTCCTTTCAGATAAGCTTAATAAATGGGGTGTTCTGTATAAGCAGGGAGATTTCAGTTAATCTGCCCAATCACTTAATTTGTTTATTATGAACAGGGAAGAACTGTTTCACACTGGTGGGAGGATAAACATTGTTTGTAGATGTTTGTCCGTGTTTTAGGATTTTGTCTGTTTCCTTTCAAAATTATAAACGTACTTGTATGAATGATTTTTTAAAAGTGATTTTGCCATCTCCCAAAAGCTATTAAATGATAGACTACTATCTAACTAGCATATACTAACATGGAAAGACAACAAAGATACAGTAAGTGTAAAATACAAATGGCAAAACACTATGTATAGTTTGAGTCAAATCAAGGTGTGTGAATTTTTATCTGTACAGGACAAAAAAGATTTGGAAAGATATGCATCACACTCTTAAATATGTTTTTTTTTCTTGAGGGGGTGGGGGCATGGGTCTTAGGGGGGCTTATAGGTGCCCTTCTTTTTTTATTGTTTGAAGTTTATATAACTATGTATTACTTTTATATAATCATAATTTTTAGAAAATATTTTACTGATTTAAAGGCTTAGGCATGTTCAAACGTCTGCAAAACTACTTATCGCTCAGTTTTAGTTTTTCTAATCCAAGAAGACAGGCCAGTTAATTTTCTGGTGCCAATGTGAAATTTAAATGTTTTTGTTTTACCTGCTTTGTGGATGAAAAATACTTCTGAGTGGTAGTTTTCTGACAGGTAGACCATGTCTTCTTATCTTTTTTCAAAATAAATATTCCTGATTTTGTAAAATTAAATATAAAATATGTCTCAGATCTTCCAATTAATTAGTAAGGATTCATCCTTAATCCTTGCTAATTTAAGCCTGCCTAAGTCACTTTACTAAAAGATCTTTGTTAACCCAGTATTTTAAACATCTGTCTGCTTATGTAGGTAAAGTAGAAGCATGTTTGTATGCTGCTTGTAGTTTTAGTGACAGCTTTTCATGTTGAGATTCTCATGTCATTTTGTGTCCTGAAAGTTTCGTTTCATGTGAGTTTTTACTGTTAGGATGATTAAGATGTATATAGTACAGAATGTTAAGTCTCTGATTGTTTTATGTTTGTTTCTTGGCTAGCAATGGTAGTAAATACTTTTAAAACTATTTTCTCAAGATCCTTAAAACCTCTTGGAAATTGTAGCATACTGACAAGAGTAGTTGTTTAAGTATGATTTAACAACTTATGTAAGAGTCAGTAAGAATAAAATCAAGCTAAAATGCTTCATAGAACACAGGATTTACCTTAAATAATTATCATGATAAGACCTCTTATAGAGACTGGTCTATTTTACTACAAAGAACAGTTTGGGAGTGAAACTGTTACAATTTAGACTTTTTGTTGTATTTTCTAAGAGAAAGAGTATTGTTAGGTTCTCCTAACCTCTGTTGACCACTATGGTAAGTGATGTCATTTTAATTGCAAATTTAAATAGAAATTAACAGAATTAAGTAAATGACTACCCTTTTTTCTCTTTCCTTTTTCCATGAAAATCCTTAGTTCTTTGTATTGTCTCCTACTTAGGTTCAGTTATATAGTCATTAAGTTGAGCTTGATCTAAATTGACTAAGTTTTAAATTTAAATTTACATTTAAAGCATTCTACAAGGGGATGAAAGTGTTGATTTTAAGAAAATTTTTCTAAGACTCTAAGGTACAAGTCACGTAGGTAGTTTGTTTAATCTAGTTGTTAGCCAAGGATTCAAGGACTGAATTGTTTTTGAATAAGGCTTTTCATGTTCTGGGAGCCTCAGTTCATTTAAAACTCTTCTTTTAAAACTTGTGTGCTGAGAGTTAAGCAAAACCTTTTTTTTTGTCTTCATGAGTTGCAAAATTGAATTCGTGAAGCTGATGCGCTAACAGGTTTATTTTAAGAATTGTTTAGAAAATGCTGTTGCTTCAGGTTCTTAAAATCACAGCGCTCCAATTCTAATCAAATTGTTGGAGGCTTACCAGAGTTGGTCTGAGCTCATACTAGGGGAAAAAAGCCACTGAATCCTTTCCAATATAGCTGTGCAAAAATTGCTCACTTGGAAGGTCAAAATATAACCAGATCCAAATCACCCCTGAGTGATGGTGTTCTTTTCTGTATAAAGTTCACTCTAGGATTTTGAAGTAACCACCTATTTTACTACATACTAGTCATGTGAAATTTAACGTTATTTTGTAATAAATAGCTAATTTTATTTGTAATTTGTGTTGATCAAAACTTTTGTGAATGTTTGGCATTTATTAAATAGAGTTTATTTGATTAATGTCTTAGTATTCCCTTTCCTGCTAGATTTTGCCTCTTCCTTTGGTTAGGGGTAGAGGTGAGGTGACTGTAGTAAGTGAATATAATGTGGCTATGTTATGGCATTTTGTTGTTTTGGTATTTAAAATGTGTATTTTTCTGTTTTAATTTTAGTAGGTAAAATTTATATCTTGAGCTCTCTGAATGGAAATTACCATTCCAGCATTAGCTGCATGTATTGCTCTTATTAGACCTAAATCATTGTTTTACTTCTGACTGCCTAGGTACTGAATAAGAGAAGAGGAGAAATGAAATAGATTGTATGTCATTGCTATTAGAGAAATAAGAAAATGGAGAAATATTTGGCCCATAGCATTTTAGTCATATCTTCTCTTTTTAAAAAGATAGCTATCAGTGAAGAAATGAGCTGGCCGTATAGGCTTCACAGCCTGAGTTCAAATCTCCAGAACCCACATAAAAACTGGGTGCAATAGCCCAAGCATCTGTAATCATAGAATGCCTACACAAAACAGGAAGCAGATAGCAGAATGTCCAGAAGTTCAAGGTCAGCTAATTTGGCTTAGGCATTAGAAAAGTGTCACTGTTAAACATGGTAGGAAGGTGAGGGCCCACCAACACAGAAACCTCCACACATGCATCATAGCAGGTATCCCACCTGTACCTAGGCACATACACAAAAGAGAAAAAAATAGCCATCTGTAAGATGAGAATGGTACCTTCACCATCTTCTCCAAGATGATGGACCTCAACTCAAGAAGAGCATATCTTATAAGCCATAAGTTTAACTCCCATGCTAAAACTTTTTATTTCCAAGACAGGATTTCTCTGTGTAACAGCCCTGGCTATCCTGGAACTCACTCTGTATGTAGATCAGACTGACCTTGAACTCACAGAGATCTACCTGTGTGCTTCTCTGGGTGCTGGGATTAAAGCTGTGCACCCCCACTGCCCGGCAAGTCTAGACCTTCTCTGGTTTTGCTTTGATGGAGGACCTTGGACTAAAGCTTAAAAGACAGCCTGGAAAGATAGCCACGAAGAGTACTTGCTGCTTCTGCAGAGGACCACGGTTCAGTTACCAGTACCCACATGGTGACTTACAACTGCAGCTCTAGCTGAAATGGGCACCTGCATGCATGTACACATAAACATGCACATATACACATGAAATAATCTTTAAATCTTAAGTGACTCATTAACTTTTACTCACTATTACTCATTTCTCTGGGTGCTTCTTATAATGAAGCTAAAAGTTGCAATAAATAAATAGATCAGTCCTTTAAAATATTTAAATTCATTTTTTCAAAAACTAGAAAAATATTCTTACTAAATTCATTTGAGTTTTTCTAATGGAAATACTTGTTCCCATCGTAATATTTCAGTTTGTCTCTGAAACATTCAAACAAAACATAGATTTCTTCCTTACATAATAACATCACAGACCATCAGAGCTAGAAATTACCTTAGAGAGCAGCCTGTTCGCACCACCACCACCCTCATTTTATAGAGGTAAATCCCTTTACTGGGACATAATTTGAAGTTGAAAATCCCTGCACCACAGCAACTACCTGTCTTGGAAAATCTCAGATGTTTATTTTTCAACAATTCCACTCTGCTCTAATTTTCACTGCACAGTAAGTGGTGCTTTACAATTGTTACAGTAGGACAATCCCTAATATAAATTGAATAATATTAATGCTTGAGTGGTGACGTTCCTATTTGGAGGCTGAAGTTTGCAGCTGTGAGTCCAGGTCTTTGACATTTACTATGTGCTTATGTATCACTCGTGTAGCATTTAAGATTACTGTCTAAGTTTATCTTATCACTCTGTCAGTACTTACCAACAGGCTTGCATTTTCAATTTGATATTAATAATGGTTTTAATGTTGTTTCTGGTTTTGCATTTTTGTTATTGTACTTCACCTGACAGAATGACCAATTCTTTTGTTTTGTTAGTGTTGTGAAGAATTATGTTAAGCATTTTGAGACAGAATACTATATTTGTGAATATAATTTTATGGCTTCTTTTCATTTAAAGGATACCTTTCAGTATGGAAATTTATGAAAATTGCTTTCTGCCCTATAATCTGTCATTTGTTGTAGATTAAAGCTTATTTTTCTGTGAATAAGACTTATTCAATAAAGCACTATTCTTTAAAATGATATCTTCTTTGTATTTGATTTTGCTTGTTGAGACAGGATTTCATGTATCAATGCAGGCTGTTGTCCTTAAACTCAGTATGTGGATGATTAACCTTGAACGTCTGATCCTTCTTTCCCTGCTTCCCTAGTGCTGATATATGTAGTATTGAGGATTAAATGCAGTACTTCATGCATGCTAAGTTCTACCAACTAAGGTAGATTGAACTCAGGTCAGCAGGCTTGGCAGCAACTACCCTTACCCACGGAACCACACAACCACAGAGACACATAGTCCTTTTCGAGATACATTGTACACATAGTTAAAAGTAATGAGCCAGCAATTATACCACAAGGACATGTGCTCAACTATGTTCATAGCAGCATTGTTTGTCATAGCCAGAACCTGGATACAACCTAAATGCCTCTTGACTGAAGAATGGATAAGGGAAATGTGGGACATTTACGCTATGGAGTACTACACAACAGAGAAAAATGACATCTTGAAATATTCAGGGAAATCGATGGATCTGGAAAACATTGAGTGAGGTAACCCAGACTCAGACAATCATCATATGTTTTCACTCATAAGTGGGTTTTAAACATAAAGCAAAGAAAGTCAGCCTACAAATCACAATCCCAGAGAACCTAAGACAACAAATGAGGACCCTAAGAGAGACATACATGGATCTAATCTACATGGGAAGTAGAAAAAGACAACATCTAAGTAAACTGGGAGCATGGGGACCATGGGAGAGGGTTGAAGGGGAGGGGAGAGGTAGGAAGGGGAGCAGTGAAAAATTTATAGCTCAGTAAAATCAATGAAAAAAAAAGTAACGAGCCAGGTAGTTGTGGTGCATATGTGAGTTCCAGGACAGCCAGGGCTACACAGAAACTGTCTTCAAAAAACCACAAAATGGTAATGAATCTTTTTAAAAGAACATTAAAATAGGGCCAGAAATGTAGCTTAGTGGCATAGCACCTGCCTAGCATACATGAGGACCTAGGTTTAACCTCCAACACCACAAAAAATTAAAATGTTAATAGTTGTGGCTGGAGAGATGGCTTAGTGGTTAAGAGCACTGACTATGCTTCCAGAGGTCCTGAGTTCAATTCCCAGCAACTACATGGCAGATCACAACCATCTGTAACAAGATCTGGCGCCCTCTTCTGGTCTGCAGGCATACATGCAGACAACACTGTATACATAATAATTTTTTTAAATACATAGTTAACATCACTCGCCTCACAGAGTAGCTTGTTTGTGTTCAAAGATCATACTGTCACTGTAAAACCAAAGTTCAACAAGCAAGTAATAAGGAATCTAAGAACCACTGCCCCATTGAAGCAGGCAGCAATGAGGGATTTTTGTGAGTTAGGGTACATTCTAGTCCGTTTCAGAATGTGAGAGCAATTTGTTCTGATATAGGTTCCCTAGGCAGAAATTCACAAGTAGCTATTTCAAGTGACTATTGGCCTTCTAATCCACAATACAGGTTCTTAAATGAAGAATTATATTCCAGGCAGGTGTGATGGCACATGCTCTTAAAGCAAGTGGAAAGCAAAGACGGGGGAGTTCAAGGCCAAATGAGGATACGTGAGACCTGTTTTCAAAAAGAGGTATTTCAGGCCATCTGTGTAGAGACTGGTTAATCTTTGACAGTATTATCCCTGTCAAAAATCATTGACATTATCAAAAAACAAACAGAAGACTTACCAGCACATCCGGCTTTGAGGTAGGTTCTTAATCTCTAGTCCCAGCTGGATTTAAACTCAGCAATCCCTTTGCCTTGGCCTCATAAATACTGAAAGTGCAGGCATGAACCACTATACTCCCTTTTTAAAAAATGTTCTGCATACAGCATTTATTTGAACTTGGCAGTGAAAATATTGTAACTCAGTACTAAGTTCAGAATGATCCCAAATTGTTGATTGCGCTACCCTGGTCAAGGGCTGGCGAGATGGTTGACCAGGTAAAAAGGCACAGCAAGCCTGATGACTTGACTGATCCTCAGAACCCATAGGGCAGAAGAAAAACTGCGTGTTTTCCTCTGACTTCCCCATTTGTACTAGGGCACGTGTGTGTGTGTGTGTGTGTGTGTGTGTGTGTGTGTGTGTGCGTGCACACATGTGTCACACACACAAATAGGATTTTATAAAACTAGCCTTTGATCAAGCAATGAAAGAGTTAAAAAAGGATTTGGAAGCTCAGCTGTAAGTGCTGGAGGGTGACAGCAACCGGATGAGATTGTACAGAACAGCGCTGCACTTCTACAGAGCCAACACTTCAGTGAAATGAGAGCCGTTGATTTGGACGGAAAGAATTTCAGAGTTGGAAGGAGTCGGCCTTTCTAATTCATAATAATTAACAGTTCTCATTCTTTTCCAGTTTTGAAATATTTCAAGTGTGGCACAAAAGAAAGCAGATAAGAGGTCTCAGTCTTCTACAGATAATGAGTTGTGTAAATAGGTATAAGGCTAGATGACAGTTTAGTATGTTGTCTTCGTTTGTATGAGATTTCCAGGACAATGTAATGGTTCATAATTAATGACAACAGCACAGAAAATCTTTTGCATGGGCCTATACTAGTTAACCTTAAGCCTCTGTATAGATATTGGAAGAATACTGGTTTCAAATACATAAATAGGAATCCAGGAGAATCAGATTTTCATTATTCTTTCCACTGAAGAATTTAAAGTGAGGAAAATCTAAAATATAACTAATTGAGATACTGTGTATTGAATCAGTGCTATTGTTCTAAGCCTAATTTCTTCCTGAGAAATGATCCAATGAAGCTCAGGC